ATTTCTGATTTCCAGCATCTGCAGTTCTTTAGTTTTTTGTTCAGTCTTATCATGTCCTTATGTCTCTCATAAGACATAAGCCCCCAATTCTTTCAACCGCTTTGCCTTCTGCACTAACACTGATTACAAAAAATTTCAAATATCTTCAAACAGATTTCTGCATTTGCTAAAGGACAAAAATAGTGTCAAACAAAACTACAAGTGCAGGTCTAACAAAGGTCACAGATCTGTCTTCACAGATGCAACATGATCTACTTGGTATTTCAAGCATTCTCTGGGTTTCATCAAGCGATAGATCAAGGTTCAGTGTTCGAGAAAACCATAGGTGAGGTTTGACTTGATGGACAAGGGGTAGAAGTGTGGTGGGGTGGAAGACCAGACACAACAGAATATTTGGACTCACTCTTATCCTTAGTCAACAACAGTGCATGAAAACAAGGTATTGTAAATACTAAAAATCTGAAATAAAATCAGAAAGTACTGGAGAAACTCAGCAGATCTGGCAGCATTTGGGCAGAGAGAGCACAGCTAATGTTTCAAGTCCAGTATGACTCTTGCTAGGAACTGAGAGGAGCTCAAAAATGGTGGTTTTAACGCTTGTGATAGAGGAAGAGGAGGAGGAGGAGGAACAAGAGGAAGAGATTGTGATGGTGCCCAGAGCAAAAGACAAAGACAGTGATAATGATGGTAAAGGGGTGATAGGTATGTAAAACAGGTGCAAATGTTAGGCGTGGAAAGGAGAAAATGGGTCCATTCTGCTAAGAGCAAAGTCACAGCCTGGGAAAGTTGTTGCAGGAAAATTGGAGAACAGAGGTCATACTCTGAAGTTGGGAAAACTCAGTATTGATCCAGGAAGCTGTAAAGTGCCCAAACAGAAAATGAGGTATTCCTCCTCCAGCTTGTGTTGAGTTTTGTTGGAACGCTCTGGCAGGACAAGGACGCAAATGTTAGCCTTATTGACATGCAAGCAACTGGAAGGTTGGAAACATTCATGCAGATAGAGTGGACGTGTTCCACAAAGCAGTCACCAAATGTAAAGGATATCATATTGTGAGTAATGAATACAGCAGACCAGACTGAAAGAAATACAAATAAAACATTGCCTCACCTGGAAGATGTTTTTGGAGCATTGGACTGTGAGGGAGGAGGTGGGAATGGACAAGTGTTATAACTTCTATAATCACATGGGAAGGTGCCGGAGCATGTGAGGAAGTGTTTGGAGTGATGGAGAGTGGACCAGGGTGTTGAGGAGGGCATGGTCCCTGTGGAATGCTGACCTTCCATCAAATCATACAATTACCTCAACGCATTTTCTCACACCCACTTTTTATAAAGACTCTAAGTTTACCAGTTTCTTCATCTCCATCACATCTGTTATGATGATTCAACCTGCTATACATACAGATATCTCTTCCTTTATCTTCAAACAAAAAACAGCCCCACCACATCTCCAACACTGTGGTTGACAAGGTCCTTGACTGCAAATATCCCATTCCCCACAATTCTGTTCTGCCCACTTCTCCTCCAACCAAAAGCTATTTCTGGGTTCTCCTTGTCCCACCCCACCAGCTGCTACTTCAGTGGATCTCTTTCCCTGTTTTCACTCCTTTAACTTGATGTCACAAATACATTTCCCTTTTCTGAATATACTATTCCTTTCATGACACCTTGGGTCACTCCTCCGTCACGCCTAACACTCCACAAAACATATCCATTCATGTGCAAGAGATGCAACAACTGCAGCCCTTTAACCTCCTTTCCCCACACCACCAAAAGCCTCAAACACTCCTTCCAAGAGAAACAGCAACTTTCTTACAATTTATTCAATTTATTTTGTTTATTTCTATTTAGTCACTGTATTCTCGACTCATGAAGCAATGCCCTCTAAATTAAGGATATCACATATGAACTGGGAGATTACAGAATATGCAGTTTAGTTCAATACAAAAGCACGGCCCTGTCATTTGTCATTTTATGTCTCTAAGCCCACTCCAACTCTGACCTTTCAGTCCTTGACCCATCACACTAATCACATTGTTCCAAAGAAGTTCAACGTAAGTTTGAAATCCAGAACTGCATCTTTCATTAAGAACTTGACAGCCTTTCAGACTCAACTTTGAGGTCAATAATTATAACCACTTTCTACATTTACTTTCCTTTTTTTAAACATTTTTATGTTATTTTGTTTTTAGGATATAACTGTTGCTGATGATCCCATGTTCTTATTTACGCCTCCTCTACACACATGCTTTGTTTCTTTCCTTGACCAATTGTTTTTGTGTTTTGAAATCGAGTCTTTCTTGCCTCCCATTCTGTTGGAGCCTTCTGTTTTGGTGTATTCTCTTTTTCTCTGCCAAACTTTAAAATGGTTGCATCTCAAAGTACTTCTAATTCTGACAGGAATTAATCTGAAACCTAAACTTGTCTTTATGATCCATAGATGTTGCCAGCTCTATTCAGTATTTCAATGTTTATTACATTCACAAACCATTTCATTAGTCATCAAGAAACCAACTTCCAACTTCATTGTGCAACAGTTGTAGTGACAGCTATACTTTGAAGTAGGGGCAAAAGGGTTAGGAAGAGCAAGAGTGGTGAAGAGAGTTGACATGCTCTTCATCTGCACAAAGTCACATATGGTCAGTGTCTCAAATAAGCTCGCCTTATCAAACTCCTGGCGTCACATGCGAATTCCTGTTTAGAGCTGTGGCCAGAGGAGAAGTATTTGAATCTGGTGGCTCAAAACCAGTCTGGGCAGCAACTACTCATCACCCTTAGTTGGCAGCTAACGAGGAGGAAAATTCTGATTTTATATGCCCAAGAACACAGATTGTGTTACATTAACACCATGCAAGCGCCAAGCAATGAACAGCGCCAAAAAGAAGAAATCAAGCCATCAACTTTTGATGTTCAACATTATTGTCATTTCTAGATTCCCCACTATCAACATCTTGGGTTACCAAAAGCCTAACTGGACTCATCATTTAAACACAGTGGATACAAGAACAGGTGAGAGGATAGGCATACTGAAGGGAATAACTCAACTCTTGACTCTCTAAAGCCTGTCCACCAACTATAAGGCACCAGTCAGGAGTGTGATGGAATATTACCCACTTGGCTAATTGAGTACAGCTCCAACACTCAATTGATTAGCACCATACCCACAAGCATCCACTCCCTCCAAAATTGATGTTCAGTGGCAGCAATGTGCACTATCTACAAGATGCTCTGCAGAAATTCGCCAAAGGTCTTTAGACACACCTTCCAAGCCCGTGATTATTTCCACCCAGGAGGACAAGGGCAGCAGATGCATAGGAACACCACCACCTTGTGGGTCTACCTGTATCACATGGACTTCAGTGATTCAAGAAGGCAGCTCACCACCACCTTCTCAACATCCACGCCCCACAAGTGAATGAATTAAAAAGAAAACCAGGGTAAAACAGTCCATGTGATTGGCACAACACTCACAAACATTCACCTCCATCACCGATGCTCAGTGGCAGCAGAGTGTACCAATCAAAGGTGCACTGCCGGTATTCACCATGGCTCCTCAGACAGCACCTTAAAAACCCACGACAACTACAATCTAGAAGAACAAAACCAGCAGATGCAATGGGAACATCACCTGCAAGGTCTCCATCAAGTAATTTCCTTTCCTATCTTGGAAATGTATTGCTGTTCCTTCATTTCACTTGGTTAAAATCCTAACAGTAATGCAGGTATACCTAGACGAAATGAACTACAGAATGCAGATTACCATCACCTTTTAAAAAAAAATCTCAAAATTTGAAAACAAGATAATGTCATTATAGGATAAGTGAACTTGCTCCAACGTCAATGCCTTCATCCATCCCTGAACAGTGACTTCATGCGTAATATTTGCAATTGGATCTGCAACTCAAGATTTGGTTCAAGGTCATTTATGAGCTGATGCCAACATTGATGATGAACAACTGGCCTCTTTGCTATCACTCATCCACCAAAATGTCAGGAAAATCTATCATAATTTGAAGTGGTAGAAAGATTTAGGTGCAGTGCCTTTTCATTCAAGGTGCACTGTATCTATGGAAAATGAATAACTATTTGTCAGCATTTTGAATGTTTACCTCTATGGGTCTCACTAGAATAGATCCCTGTTCTGCTAACAAGGCAGGGAAGAAGCTCCAATTGATTTGACTGGACGTATTGGGAATCATGGCTTTGTTATGAACTGGAACTGAGTGTGAGACCATTCATTCCAGTGCACCCAACACTCAGCAGAGATGCTTTGGGACACAGTGTAGAAAGACCCGAGAAAGATAGTTTTGAGGTTCTGTATATTATATTTAGAGAATGTCAAAACTTTTTTTGTACAACTTTTCAATGAGGAGCATTCTGCATATTAAACATCTTCTCTTGGAAGAACTCTCTCCTTTACAAGTTAGTACGACAATTACTATTGTTTGCTCACTTCAACACTGTTTGGTTTTTCTAGTGAGGTCAAATCCAGGGAAAAACTATTTAGGGAACTGTTTTATTTCAGATTATTGAGTCTGTCAGGTCCCAACTGGAAGCGGTGTTCCTCTTATCCGTCACTGAATTAATTTATGAAAATAAATCCAACCAAAACATTATTAGTCACTAAGTCATTTTTCCACAGAATTTACAATATATCAAAGAATATGAACATCTTGGAACTAGATGATGTTGCTAGCAGCAATGTCTTACACTCGTAATACTGAGACTTCATAACTTTCCAGTGAATGAATAGGATCTAATTTTAGTGACGGCTGTATCAGTTTTTCAATTTGCATTACATATTACATAATACATTGCATGATTAAATGGTAATATTGATTTGGAGAAGCACAATAAATCAGTATACAGTACCATGATCTATTAGTGTAATAGCATTGGGCTTGGTGAATCGGTTAGCTTTTAACACTGTAACACATAACTCCAATCTGATAGTATCATACTGCTGTGATCATTCAATCTATCCCTGACTTTAAACATACCTGAATTGTCTGTTTGTTGACTTGAAGTTTCTGGTTCACCAAAGTCAATTGAGCTGTTAATTTTTGATTGTTCTGTTTCAGTTCATTTACAGTGTTTAAGGCTGCTTTTTTTCCGTTCTGAGTAACAGCAACCTGTTGCTGCAGTGATATTAGACGCTGCTGTAAGGCAATGATCGAAATGCTCTGCTTTGGCACGGCAAGCATTCTGGTTTTCTGTTTCCTCACTAAAGTTTAAAACAAAGAGAACAACAGATATTGTTAATTTGAAACACTCTCCCCTGTTTTTGCAAGGGGTGACACTTTTTAACCAAAGTTACTTGACAGAATTCCGATTACTATGCTATGTAACTGTACTAAATGTAATCAGTTAATTGCAGAACCAAAGCAAAATCTTACATGGGACTTTATAAACACAAATAATTGAAAATGAAATAATCATTTGCAATTTACACATTTCAATAAGATATTTTGTTTACTCCAAGAAAGGAATGTTTAAAGTCTGAACAGAAAAAGTAAGTATTACTAACACAAACATTAATTATGACCAACATGAAACCTATAGGCCAACATTAATATCAAAATTTCAAATTAACACCATCTATTGTTTGAGATACAATGGCAGGTTATTTTTCTCCAACAGTGATTCATCATTCTCCACAGCTGAAAAAGAATTCCAAGGTGCATTACTGAGAGGAATAAAAACATACAGTGCAAAAAAGTGCAAGTAAAGAAAAGCAATCCTCCAGTCAATAACTTTGAAAGCTGCAATTAAATTATTTGTTGATTATTTAAATACTAATTAACCTCACTGCTTAAACATTAATTAACCTCCCCACAAAAAACGTATTCTTTGGACTTGCATTTGGATAGTACTTTTAATGTTGGGAAAAGTCCCAAAGTGGTTTGCAGTGGCCAAAGGAGAAAATATTTTAAGGGATGGTACAAAGCCAAGTCAAAGAGATCTGTCTTAAGGATATGGAAGAGTAGAAAGGTTTGGTGTGATTGAGATTCAAGATTGAGATCTTTATTATCAACAGTATAGTCCCACTGGATGTATGAACAGTGGACTGACATAGGTTGATGGTGCTGACATCAGAGAATGGAGACATTTAAAGAGTTAAAATTAGGATGCTCCATAGTTACAGAGATAAGGAGGGGTGAAAAATTTTAAAAATGTAATGTTCAGGGATTGGGAACAAATGCAAAACTTTGAGGAGAGGTATGATGGACAAGCATTCCTTATTGTAAAAGGGACACGGGGAGATTATTTCAAATAAGCTGAGCTTTACAAGAATAGGTAAATAGCTAGCAGATCTTGATGTAAACGACAGCAATATTACCAAAGTGTAAATAAATTGACTTGTGAGGGAAATTAAAATGTGGGAAGCTCAGATCTATGACAAAAAGGCAACCGTAGGTGCGAGCAGGCTGGTTCAACCTGTGACAGTGGCTGAAGAAGGAGTTGAAATTGGTGGCAACAGTAGAGTTTCGGATAAACACAGAAGGAAATGACCTGATTCTTTTCAGTGTAAAATTGGAAATGTTTATGATTTATCTAAGTCATGATAATAAATCATACAGAACAGTGGCAATGGGTGCTCAAGAGTAATGATGGAAAGGTGGAGCTGGGTGCTGAAGTCAAATTCATGACTTTACTTGATGTTGCAGAGGGGCAGAATGTAGACGAGAAAGAGGAGACAGCCAGGGATGAATTTCAATGAGTTTAGAGTCTCTCAGGGTGGTGGTATAGGCTACGAAGAGAAAGCCCTCACAATGAATCTTCAAATAAGAATGAAATTCAAAAAAGATTAATCGTACTGAGCCGGACAACAGAGAAGATGCTTTAAAGATAAGTATACAATAGTTGTATTGCTAGTTTGAAAGGGTCAGGAGGATAGAATTAATATGGAGGATGTGTTTCTTTTTCTTTTTTGCATATTCACTTTTGACTTGGGAAACAGAAGCAAGATAATTCCACTAGTTTGAAGGTCAATAACTAGAAACTACAAATTTATCAACATTGAAGGTAGGAGGAGAGGTTAGAACTTCAATATAAAAAGACACCCCTATCATTTTTACTGGTGCACCATGCTGCCCCTCATCTGAATCAAAAATCTGGCTAACTCTTGCTTTTTTAAGAACATGAAACTTGGGATAAAATACTATAAAACGACTGCTGCTTCTAGACTTTACTGGTCCAACAGATTCCTCGCTGGCCTCTAAACTTGCACCCTCCATAAAAGTGATCCAGAACTCTGCTGCCTGTCTCCTAACTCACACTAAGTCAACTATGTTTATCATTCATGTGCTCTCTGACCTATACAGGCTTGCTGTCTATCAACAGCTCAATTTTAAAATTCTTGAAATTGTTTTCCATCCCCCCATGGCCTTGTCTTTCCTTACTTATGCAACCTTCTCCAACTCTATGATACTTTGAGTTAACTGCACTACACTAATTCTGGCCTCTTGAGCATCCTTGATATTCATCACTTCACCAACGGTGGCCATGCCTTCAGCTCAAAACTCTAAAATTCCCTCCCAAAACTCGCCACCTCTTATTTCTTCTTCAATGTTCACCTTGAACCCTATCTCTACAACCAACCTTTTCATTATCTATCCTAATATCAGCTAAGTAGCGTATTGTCAAATTCTGCTTAATAACACTCTTGTGCAGAGCCTATGGCAGAAGGTGCTATTATAAATACAAGTTGCTATTGTTCTTATACAGACAATTCAAATATGGTAAGCAATTTATCTTTAATTAATGGATTTGTAATGGATTTGCAATGATGGTCTCTCAGGCTGCATTGAAAATTGCACTATCAACCCCAACAAGGAAAAGCACAAGCTGAAAGAATTAATCCTCTCTCAAAACTATTAAAGAAAAAGCTGCAAATCAAGTCATTAGATAATTATTAACAAGCTCAGAAATACAATTGACACCTGAGTTTAACATTCCAGCACACAAAATAAACAGCAGATAGAGTTAATTAACCAATGTTGTAAGGTTACAAAGACAAATTAGATGTGTCAAAATAATGACTTTGAATTCTAAATTTAAATTAAGATCTGTAACTAACACTGATGAGATTAGTTCAGTATTATATTTCTAATATAATCAAGGTTAACAACATTCGACAGTCTATTGAAGAGATTACAGTCTTCTTTCCTGAAGTGAGCAATGCTTTTATCATCTCATGAACTGATTGCTTCACTTGAATCTGGGAAGATGGGATTAGTCTTCTGGGGTATTAGAGTGAAACAGATCTGTTTGCAGAGGTACTTACCTCTGCTCCTGGCTTCAGTTTTTGTGCTGGTAGCAATATTTGCACCAGAAGAGTGAAATCTCACTTTTGCCTTGAGCTTCGTAAAATTTTACATCTAAAATGAAACACTTACTTGGCTGCTTCTGTGTTGAATAACTATGTAATCCTAATTTCCGTGACTCTCACTTTCTCTCTTACAGATATTAGATAAAGAACTCCTGCTAACAAACTATAATAAACACGATTACAAGTACTACAAATACTATGAATATAGCTATCTTTAGTATCGAAAAGACATCAGCTTGAACATCCCTGATTCAAAGAAACTATCTTGACTTTATTAACCAATCTGACTTACACATGTGGGGTACCTTGCCTCTTTTGTGTCAGTCAGATCACACAGCCATGTTGCTCACTTGATAGCTTTCAAGGTAATGAAGCATCATAACCTTGTGTTGGGAATTCAAATATAAATATTTGTGGACTCGGTGGAAAACTGGAAGATATGAAATTGTTCGGGCACTTTCTGGATTGAAAAGAATTTCTAACCATGTGTTTTCTTGGAAGTGAAGTCAACAGTTTAAGTCAACAAGTGGTTTACCTGCTTCTTACAGAAATCAAATGACTTTGGGGGAGAAAACAAGCAAACCTTTTAAGGAGACACAAGATTGGGATTATGGCCATTAATTGCCAGAAAAACTGGTTTTCTAAAGGCTTTGGATGCCTCTCTGATGATGGTTGCCCAGCAATCTGTTTTCTGTTTTCACAGATCTAAGAAGTCATAAGAAAGAAAACACCAAGAACTGTAAGTCTTTCTCCCTGTCTCTCTCAAAATTTTCTGAGAACTTGATAAAGTTTCCAGACAACAATATTTCTTATTACTTTTAAAATCATAAAATGTGAGCTGTTGCCACTTTCCAAATCTTTGTATCCAGACTGATTTCAATCAGAACTGAAGATTAGTTTACAACTGTCAGCAATTCAATTTCATCAACAAGAAACCCAGTGGGCCATGCAAAGCCAAAATACTATCCTTTGTTTGCAGACCTTTGGAACAGAGTTCTTTTTTCAACAAAAAAAAACTACTCTCTACAGAGACTGTTGGCATTTGTATTGTGTAAATGTGGCTGTATTTGAAATTAAGGTGCTATAGTTCTAATTCCAGATCATAAGTTAGGTATGAACCAGTGTTTGCAATTTGTTTTAAGAATAAATTTTGTTTTACAATAAACAGATTATTTTGAGTTCATTAAAGAAGCCTGGTGAAAGTCTCTTTTAGTTTGGATACTCCTTCAAAAGTAAATAAATTGGACATTTGGTGATTCTATCAACACATTTACACTAAAAGGCATCGAGTTTGACTAGCAGTACATTGCTCTTGTAAAGGTCACAACACAAGAATGCCATGAGGTGCGTTCACCCTATAGATTCACACGTTCTCACTGAAAATCTCTCAGAACCCAGGTAAGGCATGATATTTTTACCAAAAGAAAACTGAAATTTCTGGAGAAACTCAACAGTTGCAGATGGTATGGGAAAGAGGGAATGACAATGCTATTAGGCAAGAACTGCAGAGCATAAATTGGGAATGGATGTTGTCACGGAAATCCACAATAGAAATGCGGAGGTTGCTTAGGGAGCACTTGCTACAAGTGCTGGATAGGTTTGTCCCACTGAGGCAAGGAAGGGATGGTAAGGTGAAGGAACCTTGGATGACAAGACATGTAGAACATATAGTCAAGAGGAAGATGGAAGTTTACTTAAGGTTGGGGAAGCAAGGATCGGACAGGGCTCTAGAGGGTTACAAGGTAGCCAGGAAGGAACTGAAGAATGGACTTAGGAGAGCTTGAAGGGGGTATGAAAATGCCTTGGCAGGTAGGATTAAGGAAAACCCCAAGGCGTTCTATGCTTACGAGAGGAACAAGAGGATGGCTGATCAGGGATAGTGTAGGGACCTT